TCGTTGCACACTGGGCCAGAAAGTTAATTTTTTGGCCAAAAATCTGTAATTTCTTTCCTAGGACAGTTAGAAGGATGCAGTTTTTTGCGTTTTTTTCTTAAAAGATTGAACTTTTCAACGAACTAAAAGTAAAATTTCTTGGAATTTTATATGATATAGATAATCCAGACCAAAGTCGGAAAATTTTGCGTACTTTTCGGTTTTTTATTTTAAAAAAAATAACTAGAAGACGCACTTCTTCCATTTTCGAAAACAATAAAGTATGAGATAAAACAAACTAAAAAAAAATTAACATCACTAAAAAATATTATGTCGTTAAAGATTTATGAACCGTTTAAAACTGCAACTTTCGGAGACTCCCACGTCAACGTTTATCAAACAATCGATTTAAAAAAATTTTCTATTTTTTTTTCTTGTTATCTCTTAAGTTTTATATAATCAAATTATTAAAAAAAATGGTTTTAAAAAAATTGTTTTTTAAATTGTTTAATGTTAATTTGACATATTTTGAAGTCATCACAAAAGTATGCTACATTTTTATTTGCATAGTCCTGATTAAATAGATAGATATAGATTTCGAAAATACCATAATCGATTAGTGTACGTAAAAAGTAGATTTTAGATGTTAGTCACACTAAAATCAAATTTTTTCGCGCAAAATGTTCACTAAAACCTAAAGAAAAAAAGTACGGCATACTTTTGGGCTCTCTTAGCTAAGCTCTTCAAAATAGCTTGACTTCGAGTTAAGCCTTCAATTAAAACTTAAATTACCGAAAACTAAGGCAAAACCGCATCGAGTCGGTGGGCTACGCTTTTAGTAACTTGATCAACGAATTTTTTTTTGAAGAAATAAACTAATTTGTGCATGGCACTCAAAGGCACTTGAAAAGCAAAGTACTCATTTGCTAAAAAAAAACCGTAAGAATCAACAAATACATTTGTTTTAGGAAACAAGTAAGACATACGACCCATATTATATTTTTTATTGGTTGAAAGTAATCACATCTACAAGTTTTGTGAAGAGTCGAACAGCTACATCAGCGTCTTTAACTTCAAGATTTTTTTCATTTCCATCAATATTTGATGAATTTTCCACTTTGAAAATATGGTAAAAGAAACCTACTTGCCCGAATTCTTTGAAACTTTGGCATAAATTAGTTTAATGTATTATAAAACGTAATCCAAACTCAATTTGGTCATTTTCTTAAAAAAGAAAAACGTATTTTTGGCCAAAAATCTGATCGGCTGGCCCAGTGTGCGTTGTTGAATTTCGGTTCCTGCATATGTTTTCTCCCTTGTTTTTCTTCCCCCGGCATTCTTTTGCCCCCAACTCTTCAGATTTTCCCTAGCCCCGTATTGAAAGCCTTGCTTTTGTTGCTTTCTGGCGCTGGCAGTTGCTTGTTGATAAAATTTAATCATATTACACATATTTCGCTCTTTACGGTCTGTTACCCCAATATGGCCCGTGGTTTTTTGGGGGCTGTTGGCCCATGCATGCTGGAAGTATTTACTCTTGTTTACAGTTGTGCACCGCCGGCTAAAATGGCCAAAAATATCCAATTTGAAAATTAATGCCTTAAGGATATTATTCATAAAACTCTTGTATGTGATGCAGGACGGGAACAGTGAGAGGTGAATATGTGCAAAAAATGGAAAACTTTCCCACGACTACTATAAAGAACATCTTCCACTTTTACAGTATCTTAACCCACTCTACCCTTCATATTTTTGCATGTAGATTTTTGGACATCCCTTCGCCACTGTTGTAATTGCCTTGTGGCATTTGCCGCAATTGAAGTCTTGCCAGCCACCGCAAAAGTTTATTGTGCGCTATAAATTTGATGCAACATTTGACCGAGCAAAACCAACTGACAATGAAAATGAACCCAAGAAAGCACACAGAAAAAGACTAAGTAAATTCTCTATAAAAATTGTGAATTTAAAAGCGATCTAAATAAATGTTTTTTATGGATTATTTAATAAAATGTAGTATGACATTATGGTAAAATGGTTTTATATTTACACACGGATCCAGAGTTTTAAAATTTTATTGGCTTGGTTTCCTGACATTAATAATAAACATACCGGCCTGTTCCAGTTTTCACTCAGAAGTGAATTTGATTTCATGCTAGCGGATTTAAGTCCTCCTGTCAAATGCTTGCTTGGAAAGTTTCCATGTGAATTTTTCGGAAGTGAGCAGAGTAACAACGAGGGATATTTAAATCCTTGCCATTCTTTCGGAAGTGAGTCCTGTAATAGGTCTAAAAATTCGATTCCGTGTGAGTCTTTCGGAAGTGAAAACTAGAACAGGGCCGATATAGTAAATACAACAGGAGAAATTAAAATCGCAAACGGAAAAATTGTAAAAGTCAAGGTTAAATTTACTTGATGACTCAATGATTGAATAAGCGAAACATTGAGCAAGTAACAGAGGGGGAAAAAGGATAAGGAATTCGGGGGATATCAATAAGCGAAGCGGCATAAAATGTGGTCGGAAATTATTGCGGAAATTACACTAAAGCGCAAGAAAAGCCAACGCATGTGACGCCACCGAGGGAAAAGGAAAATTTGAGCTGGAAATGGAAGTGGTGAAAAGGGGGACAAGAGGTGGGGGTAAACCCGACTAAACCCGAAGCAATGCTAATATTTTGTTACCGTATGTCTGCATTGAGACTTTCCCGTCCACTTTTCCTCTAATGTTATTGTTTTGGGTTTTCCTGAAATGGTAGAAGAATAATCATTTGAAATTCTAAGTGGAAGAAAAGCTTTAAATTCACAACAAATAAATATGATTGGGTAGTCTCTACATTTATTGACGGCTTTTTACAAAGTCTGTGAAAGAAATTTAAATTTGAATAAATTGTTTTGATAAGGTGGGAACTAATATCAGTTCAAATTTATAATGAATTTCCAAGTATTTATAGCAGTGTTCATATTTTATTATTAAGTTTATTTGCTTCATAAAATCTTAAATACTTGCTTAATAAAAACTGAAATACTTCTTTCGTAGTTTTAATAAAAAATTCCAGAAAACTCTATAAATATTTTGTCAATTCAAATACTTAAATTTAAACACTTCTAAAAACCACACAACTTTTACCCACCTGCCAGCTTTTCTTCGGGGACCTCCGCTTATGCCAGGCGATCGGTTTAATGCCTTTACTTTCGTTCGTGTCGTGGCGCTAATTTATTTTGGTCGCGTGTGCATTGCAAAACTCATGGGAGGACAAAATACGGTAAATGGTATAGAAGCAAAGGACTTAGAAGCTTCGGTGCTAATTATGCCAGTGGAGGTGACGGGACTTTTTTTTACATATATACAGTTCTTTGGAATCTGTGGGAGGTCTCAGGAAAGTCTACGCAGAGAAACTACATTACAATATTGTTCTCCGAACATAAAATCGCAAAGGTCAAAAGTCATCATCTGCTAACTACACAAATTTCGAATTAATTAAATTCTTCGCCCACATATTCCACTTCCATGGCATCGAATTGCAATTTATAATTTCATCGACTGTTTTGCGTTCAGGGTTTAATTGCTAAATATTTGCAGCTTGTGTACATAATTTGTTATATATTAACTGGCAACAAAGAAAAATGGGTGAGTATAAGGGGCGAGCAAATAATGAGCGAAATATTTGGAAAATGCAAATTAATTATGCTACACATGTATTTGTTTAAGTTATCTAATTAGACTGGAACGCAATTCATTTTCAATTGTTTGTCGTCATTTGCATTCGAATATTTATGGTTAAACTTATTTAATTTAATATACCACAAAAAGCCAGTTTTTTGGTCTATTTTGCTAGCCACTTTTCTATGTGATTAAATGGATTACCAGATTTTTTTTGCACAATTAAGTACATTAAAACACGATTTTTTATGAAGTTAAGTTCAATTTAAGATTAAGCTGTTTGACTGATTTTTCTATTATTAATATCAATTTATAAAATTTTAATTTAACAAGAGGGAACGCTATAGTCGGGTTCTTGTCCCGACTATCTAATACCCGTCACTCGCCTAAAGGGAGTGCGAGGGAGATGGATATATAACCTTTTTTTGATTGCGCATAACTTTTTTATATATGCTCCGATTTGAAAAATGTCTTCTGCACTTTGATAGGTATAAATATACACAACAAAATTGCATTTATACTTCTCGGAAATCTTTAAAGGTATGGGCACCAGACACATTTTGATATCGTTAGTGGGGGATTGTGGGCGTTAGAGGGGGCGTGGCACTCGGCTAAAATAAACTTGCGCTGCATAAGAAGCCCAAGAATATGTGTGGGAAATCTCAACCTTCTAGCTTTTGTAGTATCCGAGATCTCAGCGTTCATACGGACAGACGGACATGGCTATATCGACTCGGCTAGTGACCCTGATCAAGAATATATATACTTTATAGGGTCGGAAACGCTTCCTTCTCCCTGTTACATACTTTTGCACGAATACAATATACCCTTTTACTTTACGAGTAACGGGTATAAAAAGGTTATAATTAATGAATACCAACAGTTTTGGAAAAATAAATTATTTAAATGTTTGTGTATATACCTGTGTACTACATATAATTGGTTTAGCAAAGATTATTGGTCAATTTAAATTAATTAAAAATCAATTATTTTAACTGGAGCTGTCAAACTAAATTGGCATTTAATATAGGGTGTTAAAAAGTGTGGATATTTTAAATTTATTTTTATGTTTGTGCTGTTAACAGACCAAAAATTTATAGTACTAGCAGCAAGAGCCACATACTAAAGATATATGAAGAACAGTTTTACAAATACTTTTATCCTATTTATTTTCTCACCATATACTCATATTGACCATTTGTTGTGGTTGGGGACTGTTTGACAATTTTTTACCAAGTTTTTTTTTTGTGTAGGTATATTAAATCAACAAGATTCGTTTATATCTTAATTTTTATTACAATTATATATTTGTTGAATAAGTGGAATAGGGATAGAAAAAGGTGTTCTGATATTTGATAAAAAATGAAAAGTGGTCTGGCTTCAGGGTTTGACTTCCTCCTTGGTTTCTACTTCCTTCTCCACTTTTGTTTCCTCCTCCTCAGAAGATTCCTCGTCTGAATCCGACTGTGCATCCTGCATCACCTGCAAAAGAATCTTCTGCCTGGCTGCTTCATCCTCGACCAAGTGGGCCGGTTGGATGTAGACCCTGTTGGCACAACCAGCCACTGGGCAGCGAATCCCCATGTTGTCCTTGATGAGTCCGTTCACATATTCGCGGTCGTAAATATGGCCGCACACCTTGTTGCGAACGGGGTTCCTGATTAGCGCCTTTGTCCAGGGATCGTACCGTGAGAAGACATTGATACCTGGCACCTCCATTGGGACTACGTCGTCATCGGAATCGTTAGCTTTTGGTCCTATCTTTGAGAATAAGGACACAATGGATCGCTTGAAGCTCTTATACTCGGCTGCGTTTTTCGCATCGACGGGCTTGCGTTCCACTGCATTTCGGCGCTGGACCCAAGTACGCTCGAAATCCTCGACGGTGGCGCTTTCACCCTTGACCTCTTGCATCGCCTGCACGAGTTTTTTGTGCTTGGTCTTTACCTCAATGATTTTCTCGGCATGCTCTAAGCGAGCGTTAGCGCCTTCCTCCAATAATTTACGGACCTCGTCGTCACCCACGTCTGATATGGCTGTCGGAGATTAAAACTATCTTTAAGGGCTCCTTCTTTGTTATGCTGTAGCTTACCATTGTAGCGCTTGCTCAGAGGAGATACATTTGTAGCGCCATCTGTTGGTCAGTAGTAAAGGGGGTACTGCGTTGCCACTAGAGCTAGGATGAGAGTGGGAGATGTAGGTAGGATAGCGCGAGAGAGCAACAGTGGCAAGTGTCAACTATCTTCGCTTTCACCCTGATTCGATCCGAGGTTACCGCCACTTTCCCGGCGTGGGGTTCGGTCTTTCCGTCTGTGGCAGCTGAAGTGTTAAGTCCAAATTTTTACTGGTGACAAAAAGATTCGAAAAGTACTCGCGAGTGCTGAAACACATTGCCAGCGGGAAGAAATTCCAATTAAATCGGCAGCGAGCCGTAATTAAAGGGTGAGGAAAAGAAGAGCGAGGGGATAGGCAGATTGGTAATGATTTTTTGGGGTTTTTATAGGCAACCGCTTGGGTTCGAAGGCCACCGACAAGAGAGAGAGGGCGAATTCGACTAAAGAGAACTGGGCGCATGCGCAAACTACAAATCCAGCGAGCAAGTTTAACGCCAGCGTTTCGCCAAGGAATAGCCGCAGCGCTCCAGGACGGGCGTAAACGATTACCTCATTTCCCGTCATAGATAAGTCATTTCCATCTATAACCCATGCCCCGGCCCAAAGAAAACCGCATCCAAGTAATCCAGGGCATAGACTAGGCGACGAACTACCATCGAGCTATTAATTGAGGCGAAAAACAACCCAGGTTCGATCGAACTTAGTCGCCAGTTTCGCCGCGCGCTGAAGGCTTGCACAACGTCGCCGCCGCGATCTGCGGTTAAGAGTTATTTTTAAAGTTTAAAAAGTTACTATTTCGGGCCGAAAATACCTTTCGTTCTGGCCAAATCCCGATCTGGGAGTCGACCGGGAGTAGCCGCCGCGGAAAAGCGGAGAAAGTAGTTTTAAATTTCGGTTTAAGGTTAGGTAATAAGTGCTAGTTCGTCTAAAGAAGAAAAAGTTCATTTTATTTTGTTTGGTGTTAGTGTCATTTGGGGATTTAATTCGATTTAAGCCCCAGTTTAAGTGCTATGTTTTAAAGGATGCCCACAAAGCCCTAATATTCCCCTGGCCCATGAAGTCCCATATTTCTGTGTGTGTTATTTTTCTTATCCCTATCTAGCTTCATCGTAACGACTAAAGCGCTTTCGTCGGAGGATGGAAAAAGTGTGGTGAGTGGCCAAAAACATTTATTTAAAACCCCTTTAATTAGGCGATAATCAAAAACAAAAGAAAAAAATTATAATTTAACCTCAAAAGAAAAAAAAAACGAATATGGGGAGCTACAGAGACTAAAAGAGCCACACTCAGAGAAAAGAAAAGCAGGAAAAATGAAAGTTTAAAGAGAACTAAAATTGAATATGAGCGGCTTGAGGCTCCTTGCTATTTAAAGGGTTAAATATTTAAAAATAATAAATCCGTAGTAAATAAATTTAAATGGGAAAAAATAAATAAAGTAAATATTAAATGAAACCTTTCCAAGACGATTAACAAAAATCCCCAGATTGCACTTAACCATATTAATATATACAAAAGTTTTAAAAATCTTATTTAAATATTTATCATATTTTAACCTATTCTTATATTTGTTGTCTATATTTATATATTTATTTCATGCATGTTCTTATATTTAGGTTAAGTGATGGTTTTTATATTTTAGTTGGTAAATAAATTTTATAATGTTTAACTAATTCGGAAGAAAAGTGGCCGCAGCTAGCATTGTCCGCAATGTAGGGTAGCACTTGGTTAAAGGGGTCGCTCAGGCTGTCAAGCGACGAAGGGAATGAGCGACCAAAGGTAGGGTGGGCAGACCGAGACCTCCACGTCATCCAGGGAGGCGAAGGGTGAAGTCAGACGAAAGGGGAATTGTCAGGGAACGTGCAGTAGGTGGTATTGTGTGTGTTATTCTCGACCCGGTTTTAAGTTCGGTGATGCACGCGAGTATCTAAATATTATTAGCAAAAGGCAATACGAGTCATCGGCAAGATCATCACACCCATAGCCGAGAGCCAGAGCCGGAGAATATCTTTCGCGTGCGTCGATGGCTCGGGACAACAACTAGCCTAAATTATGGTTATGAGGGTAGCGGTTCGTTACAATTATAAGTCATAAATTAATAAATAATAAAAAAAAGATTGGCGCCCAACGTGGGGCCCGATATAGGATTATATTGTGACTCACACACACACATATACATAACTGCTGCTCAAAATTTTCTATCAGTCAGGGGGTGGGCTAATATTAGTCAGTGTTTACGTTTAGTCATTTACCCAAGATTGCCCCAGCTGCTAGAAAAGCATATGTTGGTTTTCACTCGAAGTTGTTCGGAAGCATAGGAAAACGGAATAAAAGTTTAAAGAATAGGAATTGCCTAGCCGGCCGCAGACGACAACATCGGAGCTGGAAACATACAGACGTGTGTATACTCTACACAGTGCAACCCGAGTTTGTGCACATCAAACGCATAGGACTAGCAGTTGCATTTGCTTTCATAAGTGACGCAGCTGACCACGGATGATAGGCACAGAAATAAGGGGCACAACCATTTCCATAGATGGGACATATTCCTCGGTTAATATTCGCATAGGACATACTGAGCTTTGATCTTTCATAAGGGACACTCAGGCCACGGATAATAGCGGAAGACATATGCCCAACATAAACGGAAGAGTAGAAGGTCAGTCGCATGGACCGCAGACAGAGATAATTTTTGTCTGACCACGGCGGACTCTTCGCGCTGTCGATATTGCTGATTAGCGATAAGCAATGCTCGCCAATTTTTTTTCCCAATTCCCTTTTGTGCTGATCGAAACCTTTTGGTTGTATAAAAGTGCATTATTATTGCAAGCAATTGCTATGCTTGCTGGCCAGATTTGATATTGATTTTCTTTATTTATTTCGTGTTTTTATCGCTTTTATATATTTATCGTTACCTTTATTTATCTTTACCTTTATTTATCATATCTAGTGAAGAATTTTAGATCAGAAAATATTAATTAAATTGTTGAATTTATAAACATTTTATCTAGAAATAAAAGGAATTAAAATTTCTAAGTCCAAGTTTGAAGCTGTCGGTTCGATCAAACTAGTTCGAACTTCGTAGATCTGGTGGATCGGAAATTGGATAAAGTATTATATATTTATTTCTTGGAATTTATATCTTTAACTGAGTTTATCAGAAACATTTTGGTTCGATTCGTTTTAAAGAGCTACATTTTGGTGTGGATCGAGCTCGTTGTAAGGCGAGGGATCCCCATATTTTCTCTTTGTGTTGGTTATTAGAATAAAAAGTGCCCAATAATCATGGATTTAGATGCTTCAGGTTCGACAAAATGCGCGCTTTGCGACAAAACGTTGTCGGCGGACCAATTAGGTCGGGCCAAATGCGGCCATGAGTTCCACAAAGATTGTATAGATAATTTAATCAAGGCTAAGGGCAGTTGCCCTGGTTGCCATCCCAAAGGGGAAACCAGTAAGCAAAAAGGAACAGCTGTTACATCGAGTAAACAAGCAACTAGTGGAGCTGACTCTGAGGCTATCGGTATCATTGTGGCGCAGCAGTTAAAGGCAATGCAAAATGAACTGCTAATCCAACTAACCGATCGAATGGCACCAATAATTCAAGCAACAATTTCAGCCCATATTCAAGAGCCGTCAGGACAGGCAGAGGCAGTCCGTAACTTCAGAGCTCCGTCGGATATAGGGGAGATTGAATTGCCGGACAGGCCCAATTCCGCTTTTACAAGCTCTGATTTGAGCAGTCGTCCCGATAAGGTCGGACAAATTATTAGTAGTTGGAAGTTGCGTTTTAATGGAGATAAAGAAGGGCTAAGTGTGGATAAATTTCTATATCGGGTGGAGGCGCTAACTCGCCAAACGCTTAATTCAAGGTTTGATTTGTTATGCGGCAACGCCAGTGTACTGTTCGAGGGAAAGGCTCGTGAATTTTATTGGCGCTTTCATAAAACTGCGGATAGTTCAAATTGGGATTTGCTTACTGAAGCTTTACACAAACAGTATCGAGATACACGTACCGATGTGGATCTGAGAGAATCAATCCGAGATAGAAAGCAGAAAGATAGGGAAAGCTTTGACTCATTTTACGATGCTGTTGTGCAAATCACGGATTGCCTAGAAGTACCCATGCCTGAAAAGGATCTAATCGAAACCCTTCGCAGAAACTTACGACCGGAAATCAGGCACGAGCTTTTAAATGTAAGCATAGAGTCGGTGCAGAAACTAAGGGATATTTGTCGGCGTAGGGAAGGTTTTCTTGAGGACGTGAAGCGCACTTATGGTTATCAAAAGCCAGTTCCTTATCGAACGCAAGTATCTGAGTTGGTGCAGGATTGTGAGGACGCTTCTGGGTTTTCGGAAGTGAATCAGACACCACAAGTAGAGGCTTTCGGGTTGGTGTGCTGGAATTGTAAGCAAGAGGGCCATCGTTATCAGCAGTGTAAGGTGAAAAAAAGAGTATTTTGCTTTGGATGCGGGCTCGCTGATACCTATAAGGATGTCTGTCCAAGGTGTCAAAAAAACCCGAGGTTGAACACACGACCCCGACAACAGCCGTGTGTTCTCAGAGAAAGGCAAGCGGATTCCGTTGTCAATCAGCAGTAACTTTAAGCGCATCCGAGTTAGGCAGAGAGGGGAGGTCTATAACTTTCTGGCCACAGCTATTGAAGAATAACTTGTCACCAAACCTTACAACAAAACCAGTTAGAACCTTCTCTCGAAATGCGAAAAGAATTAGAGATTTTTGGCAAGCGGCCAAAGCTATTAATGCTATTAGGCATAAGAATAATGATAATCGCCCGTACGCGGAGATCCGAATGTTAGATAGAGTTGTACTTGGTCTTTTAGATACAGGTGCATCCATGAGTGCCGTGGGAGGGAATTTGGCCCAACAAATTCTCAGACAGAGAATACCGTTTAAGAGAGTG